TGTTCATATACATACCCATCTCGTCTTCATCTTCATCGTCCGTCTCCTCCTCTTCATCGTCCGAGTATCCCTTCGGTCTCCTTCGCTTCCTGGCACTTCGTCGTCTTGTCGGAGGTTTCCTGCGTTTCGATGTTCGTTTTTTCCCGCTGCTAGAGTCCGATTCTGCCTCCGAGCCGTTCTCTGACGCCACGAACTCTTCCTCTGAGCTGCATCGGGGGAAAAAGATTTTGATAAAATTGCAATTAATCTCAAGTGTTATTATTGATTTGATTTCTATAAGTTTTGTTTTTCATATTCTCATGTTGAATTCTTGGGATTCGAGTCCTTATACATGTCGTGACCCCTTGTTAAAGAAACTGTTCATCTAAATTGGAGAACTAATGGATGTAAAGGGGAATGTGAGAAAATAATTAATAAAGAATATTAAAAAAACAATACCTGGAATCAATGTTAATATTTGTCGACATATTAAATTATATTTGAAAAACATTAAGTGAAAATGAAAGAGGTAGAGGAATCTGAAGTCTGTAGAGTAATGTGATGTTGCACTAATCCATATTGTGATACAATTGTAAATAAGTGTTCAACGATACCTAGCATCAATGTTAATATTAGCTTTGATTTCGGAGCAGTTTCTAACCTCTCACTGATGCGAAACTCGTCCTCGCTCTCCTCCTCCTCGACGGTGCTGTCGCTGTCGAGGTCGTTCAGTCGTCTGCGTTTTTTCCTCCGCGGCCCAGCAGGGGGTTGGGGCGTTTCTCCGTTCTCTTTCCCCTCGTCCGCCTGCAGGATGACGGACATGTCTTTCCCTCGGAGCCCCGTGATGTTCGCCATGTCTTTCCCCCGACCCGCTCCTGAGGAAAACACCGTCATTAATTTAATCTGATTTCAAAAAGGATTGTCAGACATCTTGAGGAATACACGTAACGGCCCGTCCACACGGCGGCGTGCATTGAAGCTTCACCGCTTCTTCCCATTCACTTTGAATGGGGTGACGTCACGCTTTGCCGAACTGCATTGTGGTTCCGCCTCTTCGCTTTGCTCGCTTCAAAAGTTGAGAAAAGTTCAACTTTTGAAGCTTCGACGGAAGCGTCAGCCAATCAAATTATATGCCAGTACAAGCTCTAGCCAATCAAACCGCGTGCTTGTGTGTCCGGGGCAGGAGATTCAAGCTTCAACGCACGCCGCCGTGTGGCTGGGCCGTAACGGTACGTCCACACGGCAGCGTCGCGTGCTTCAACGGAGACGCTTCCCATTCACTTTGGATGGGGTGACGTCACGCTTTGCAGAACTGCATTGTGGTTCCGTCGCTTTCCTTACGTTGCTCGCTTCGAAAGTTGAGAAAAGTTCAACGTTTCAACCGTCGACGGAAGCGTCAGCCAATCAAGTCATATGCCAGTACAAGCTCTAGCCAATCAAACCGCGTGCTTGTGTCTCCGGGGCGGGAGATTAATGTGATT